AGAGAATGGGTAGGGGTGGGATGCAGTCCTACCTAAATAATTGTTTAAGATTTCTTATAGACAATATTGCTCATTGCAAAACAACTAAATGGTAGACAACAATGGTGTTGAGCAAGCCAGGCTTAGTCTTTTGTGCTAAATATTCTGGAGTTAATTTTTGCTGATACCAGTCAAGGTACCAGCGGGAAACAGATGGCAAAAGGTGGGAATGAGAAAAATTTAGTAAAGGAACTATTTATAAACATGTGGGCAGACACGAGGGAAAGCAGCAAGGGATGGGGAACCATCCTGGGGTTAGCAGCAGGAGGGAGGCATCACCACTTCTAGGTCTGGAAGGGGAAAGGGGACACAGTTACCAAAACCCAGAGACAACTGTGGCTCTGGAGAAGCTAAGGGATGGGCTGTGGCCTTGAAAGCCTTTGGTGTAGGAACCTGGTATTTCCAACCTACTAACCTGCAGGGAGGAAACAAGGGAGAAGAAATGACCCTCACCTCACTCTTCCCCACCTCCAAATCCCTGCTGGTGTTTCCATCGACCAAAATGAACCACAAGTCAGAGCTCAAGGAATGTAGTAAATCTAACTGTTGGGAGTCCGTAAAGGTCAACCATCCCGGTCACAAGGATGAGTGGAGAAGGAAAAGAGTGGATATGAAGGGAAACAGAATGTCCACACATCAGCGAAGACAGAGCCTAGTGGCAGCTCTCGATGAGGGACAGCTTGGGGAGAGCAAAGGAGGTAAGGGCATGGAGTGGTTTAAAGGGAGATGAGGAGTAAGATCTCACTTTTTCAACAAATTGATCAGGAAGAAAAAGTATAGGTTATAAAGCTATCTTAAAGAGGTCTCTGGATTAGGAAAAGAGAGTATTTGCTGATTAAGGAAAGAAACTTGTTCCATTTGAAGAACAAAAAGGATCCACTGTGAAAGGAATCACTGGAGAGAGAATAACAGATAAACCCACAATAGAGAGTATAGAGTTTTGAAGACAAGTTGCACATAATGAACAACGTCAAAATTGTACCAAATGTTTGTTGAAAATCATTACCGGTTCCCATGGTTAGTCAGTCTTAGAAGTACTTAAAACTACTGCAATATGCCATCTCCTAAACATATTTTACTAAGCTTTAAAATGTTCTCACATATGACTTGAACAGGTTAAGGTACTTGACTGAAATAAGAAGGCCAGATTTGAGGATTAGGTAAAGGTTAAGAAAATGGAGTAGATTTCAAAACTGATTATCTATTGGACTACTTTCTTGGCTAAAATTAAATACAGAACAGAGAATGAGGGCAATTACTCACAAATTAACTCTTTTTATATATATTTTTTCTTTCCACATCTAACAATTTTAATGTATTTCAAGGCAGACGTGTTGTCTGAATTCCATCTGCAGAATGTCGTGGTGTCTCAGAACTGCTTAAAAGCCAAATTGGAATTTTTCCAGCTTGATCACTTAAGATCATCAGGAGTGTTAAAAGATTGAAGACCTCAGGAATCACATTGTTTGAACTACTAGTATATCATTAATCACATTAGTGAAATTATTTCATTTGTTGTTAAAGAACTTCATTCATACTTAAAAAGAGCCATTAACACAGGTACCATGAAATGTTTCCTTACCCTAAGAAGTCAGCTGACATCTTGCTATTGTAGCTCATTGCCATATATTGCCACACTAGGCCATCAACATCCATCACAGCATTGTCTAGACATTTCCTAAATGTTTCTCAGGTATTTAAATATAGGGTTTATTTTAAACATCCAATACTTGAATTAGCAAAATTGTGAAAATGCCTCTCTTCCAGAAAATCTGATTCTATTTATAAAAAGCACAGGTTTACAGGTATATGGATGCGAATACTTTCATGAGAACAGGGACCAATCCGAATGGTCAAAATAACAGTATTGAGCTATCCCATATTTCACTGTGATGTGGTAAAAGTCAAAGGTCTTTTCAAACAATAATTGTAAACTACGAGACCCATATGTTTCCCTTTCTCTTCCATCCTACAACAATAAGATAAAAAATTGAATTTTACAGGCTTTGGTTTGAAGCCTTTATCTTCAAAAGAGACCTGAGAAGGAAGACTTAACTGACCTTTCCATGTAAGAAAGCACATCACCTACTGAGATTTGTCTTCCTTGTTGGCACCTCCCTACAAAAGAAGTGGGAGGCTAAAATCAGCTTCAACTTGTGCAAATTAAAAGTAACCTTCAGGCTAATGGGCTTTCAACACCACTCCTTACTGGGCAAAAAATTTTGTGTCCCATAAAATTAAATTACCTCCTCGAAAATGACTTCTCCAATAAATTACACCATTAAATACAGTAAAACTGGAATTCCTACAAAACAATTCTTCCTTTTCTGAGGAAACACTCCCATTACTGTGAAAATTGATTCCATCTTTAATGGAGTATCCATCTAGTCAAAAAAAGGGGCACAGAAAACCTAAAAACTATCAAAGAAATAGCAGTACAATTAAAGGCCAGAGAAATAAATCAGAACTTTGAGGTAACTAGAATGGCAGTTTGGAAAGATCAATGCTTTAGCACTTTATCAAATGCTAGATTTAAAGAATGTGGAGAATTGTCACCTAGCAGAAGGTGACTTGTTATTTTCAGTTTCTTTGAAGTAGCTATCAGAAGGAAACAATCAAATAATTAAGCATTGTAATGAGTTTGTGAGGTGGTAGCTCTTATATTAACTCTGGCAATCACCATAAATCAACTATATTTTCACTAATTGAGGAAGTTCTAATGTAGTTCTCTTTGAATGGGGCTGGAAGTCATAAACACATTGTTGAATGACTACTCTGTGTTAGGAGCTAAACCAGCTTCTTTAAGAATGAAGATATCAAGGAAAGGACCCTACAATTCACTTGAAAGATTGACCAAACATACACAAAATGGGAGAATTCATGAACAAAAGTTGACAGTATGAACTGTATGCATAATTGAACTGTGAGGCAATTGGGCACAATTATCATGAGGCTAGGTAAAGCTACAGTGCTCAATTTGACCTGAAAGGCATTGAGTATACGGAGGGGGCAAATATAAGAAGTCCATGATGAAATATTATCCTGGCTGCTGTGTACTGGGTGGATTAAGTTCACAAGAAGCATAACACAAATTAATACGAATCCTAATAACATCTAACACTTATAGGTGCCAGACATTGTTCTAAACATTTTCATATATCAACATGGTAAATCCTCACATGTAAAATCCTCATGTATTAGCATGTTAAATCCTCAATGCTTTGAGGCAGGCCCTGTTACCATCTCCTTTTACAGATGGGGAAACCAAAGCACTTACGTAATGTCTGATCTTTACAGTAAACTTTCTGCATAGCAACCCCCATGCAGGTAAATACAAAGTGAACTTTCAAAGTGGGTGTCATCATCAGAGAAGAATACTAATAGAGCCACTAGATATATTATTTGTAAATGCTTTATTATGGAAAATCTCAAACATATCTAAAATATATAGTGTAATGACCCTGCCCCCTTCATATACTCAATCTTGATTCACCTACCATAACTCCACCCAATGATCCAAACCCCTCCCCTCACTATTTTGGAGTAAATGTAAACATTGTATCAGTTCATCATCCCTAAATCTGTCAGTACGCATCTCTAACAGGAGCCTCCTTTTTTTTCTTTTCTCCTCCTCCTCCTCCTCCTCCTCCTCCTCCTCCTCCTCCTCCTCCTCCTCCTCCTCCTCCTCCTCCTCCTCCTCCTCCTCCTCCTCCTCCTCCTCCTCCTCCTCCTCCTCCTCCTCCTCCTCCTCCT